GAAATTATCTACTTACTGTTTCCAATTTTAAAATGTAAAATAAACTCTTTGTTCTCTTGAGACAAAGTTTCACTATGTCTTCTAGGGTGGTTTTGAACCCTCCTGCCTTAGCCTTCCATGTGAGGGTTGTTTGCTACCATGCCTGCCTTGAAAATTCCTTAAGAATAATACAGCAGGAGGATGGAAAGATGTCTTAGTTGTTAAGAGCACTGGCTGCTCTTGCTAAGGACCTGGCTTCAATTCCTAGTACCCACATGGCGGCTCAAAACTGCCTGGACTCAGTGGCACAGGCTGCAATTCTTGAAGAAGGAAGAAGGCCTCCCAGATTTATATAGCATGAGTTCAAGGACTGTCTAAACAACATCAGCGAGCTCCGGTCTCAAAATAAGAACATAAAAAAATGGGTCCAGGATGTTGCACAGTGCTGGAATGCCTGTCTACATGTGAGAAGCCCAGGGTTCAATCCTTAGTATTGGGGTGGGGTGTACATTCATGGGACCACTATCTGTTTCGGGATGCTCCTCATTCTCAGCTCCACGAGATTTACAATCACCTAGGAGACTCCCTTCTGGGTGTCTGTGAAGGTACAGTCAGACTTAACTGAGAAGGGAAGACCTACCTTGAATGTTGATCACATGGGCTGGCAGGCCATAATGAGGAAAATGCTGACCACTGACTGAGAGCCAGTGTTCATCTCTTCAACTTCCTGTCTGCAGACTCAGTGTGAGCAGCTGCTACGCACTCCTGACGCCTTGACTTCCTCACCATGGTGGACTGTGCTCTTGAACATAATAAACTCTCCTTTCTTTTTTGTTTTCAGAGACAGGGTTTCTCTGTATTGTTTTGGAGGCTGTCCTAGAACTTGCTCTGTAGACCAGGCTGGACTTGAACTCACAGAGATCCACCTGCCTCTGCCTCCCGAGTGCTGGGATTAAAGGCGTGCGTCACCAACGCTCTCCTTTCAGAAGCTGCTTTTGTCTGGTATTTTGTCACCCCGATGAAAAAATTAGCTAATATACCAGCCACGTGGTCTCTTGTACTATTCCAGGACTTGGCCAGCAGGGAGCTCATATAACTTTAAAAAAATAGATACAAAGTCAGCCTGATCCTCAAAGAGAGTTCCAGGACAGTCAGGACTATATAGACAGATCCTGTCTCAAAAAAAGAAAGCCTGAATAAATGCAGGACATTTAAAGAACCCCAAAGCAGTAGGTAGAAATGGGAACATCTCAAGTTCCAGGCTTGGGCTGTGTACAAAGCCATTTTAAAGATCAAAAAGGGTAGAGGGAGTACAGTAGGGACGGCGTGTCTCTGCCCCAAATCGGAATCACTGACAGGAGCTGGGAAGACTTGGAATCTGGAGCCTGATGATAGCTCAGGGACTGGAATCATCTAGAGCTGTTCCTTCATGAGGCTGTAAATGATGCTGGCCACAATGTACGTTACACTGGGAAGTTGTCATGTATTGTTCCAGCTCACTAGGAAGCTGGCTCTGGAAGTGGGCTTGTCCCTTTCCCGTTTCAGACCCCAGCATACCTGTCTCCCAGTGTCCTTCCTGTCTCCTGTCTATGAAGTGGCTACCCTCCACACCCACACACACTCCGTGACAGGGAAAAGCTGGGTGTTGGCTGCATCTCAGCTGAGGCTGTAAGCATGAACACATGGCTCCTCAGAAGATATCTTTTTTAAAAATTAATTTTATTTAGCAATTTTACCATCAGGGCGTTCTGCTTCTCATGTCCAGGATGGCAGATTCCACGTGCATCCCAAGAGAACCAAGGGGAAGATGTGTCACTTTGTCTTATAAAGCCGGTGTCATTTCCTCCTTAGTCAGCTTCTCCCAAGGAGATACAGACTACATTGCTCAAGTTAGTACAGAGAAATAGCCAAGATACAAGGCAATGACTGGAAGTTATTTAGTGACGACAGTCCGGTCTTTCTTTTTTGAGAAGCTACACCCACACTCAGGTTTGTAAGGTGTGTCCTGTCTTTTCTAAGTTCCCCACATTTTTCAGTGTCTGTACTTAAGTCTATTAAACAAAGCGGTGTCTATACCAAGAATAATACCAGCACTCAGGAGGTAGAGGCAGGAGACCAACATCAATCAGTACTTATCGTCTCTCCAGCTCCTGAAGGACATTTGAAGCATCAAGATTAAGAGATGAGAAAGAATAAAACATACTTAAGTGTTCATATGGGCTCTCCAGGGAGAGTCACACATAAGTATTTCAACATAAGCCGTATATACCTGATGTTATAGCTCAAATGGTTGCTTGGGAACACACATTTATAGGGTTGTTCTAGAGGAGCCATCAGAGTTGCTCAGAGGGTTTGTGGTGAGACTCCTGGAAAATTGTTTCTTCACAGATGGGAAGGGTCATAATGCCTCAAGTAAATGTTGCTAATTGTGTTTGCAGTATTTTACTTCTTTTCCCTTTATCTTTCCTTCCTTCCTTCTTTCTCTTCTTCTCCTTCTCCTTCCTTCTCCTTCTCCTTCTCCTCCTCCTCCTTCTTCTTTTAAAGACAGGTTCTTTCTATTAAGTAACTCTAGCCATCCTGAAACTCAACATATAGACCAGGCTGGTCTTGAATTTACAGAGATTCATGTACCTCTGTTTCCTGAATGCTGGGATCAAAGGCACATGCCCCCATGCCCAATCCTACAGTTCTTGATTCTCAATTGGCCAGAGGTTTCCTCAGCCTGACCCTGAGGTGAGGGGCTCCTTTCCCATATCCCCTTAAGTTTCCATCTTCCTATCCTGTTGGCACACGGACCTCTTAGTTTCCTTACTCTCTCACCTCTCTGTGGAAACAGGCTCTCCCTAGTCCTGGTTATGTCAGAGCTTGCTATGTAGCCCAGGTTGACCTGAAACTCACAGAGGCACCTGCCTCTGCCTCCCAGATGCTGGGATTAAAGGTGTGCACCACCATCTGTGTAGAACAGATTTGGAATCAGTGGTTCTCAACCTTCCTAATGCTGCAACACTAAAATACAGTTCCTCAACCATAAAATTATATTCTTTACTACTTCATAATTATAACTTTGCTATTGTCGTGAGCTGTAATATAAATATCTGATATGCAGGATATCTGCTATGGGACCCCTGGGAAAGGGTATTTGACCCCAAAGGGGTCAAGACCTGTAGGTTGAGAATTGCCATTTTAAGTGATGCTACAGTGTAAAAAGGAGTTTGTTACATCAGTGTAAACGCCCAGGGTTCGAATCTAGGCCCATCACTTAATAGAATGGCATCACAAGTATGTCTATAACTTTTCCTGATGTGTAATGTGTTGATGACACTCTTATCTCCACGATTACAAGAATTTGATGGCACTGTAAAGTAACTTGATGCAAAGTAAATGTGAAACGAGCAATTATGATTTCAAAGTTCACACTAGTGAATTAAAGGTTCTAGAAGTCCAGTTGTGATGGTGCACACACACCTTTGGGGGAGGCAGAGGCAGGCAGATCTCTGAGTTCGAGTCCAGCCTGGTCTGTAGAGCACAGAGAAATCCTTTCTCAAAAGACAAAAACAAAACAAAACAAAACTTTGAAAGTTACTTAATGAACCATAATCTTCCTAAGTTAACTGTTCCACTGTTGGGGTGGAGTGGGGTGCACCACTGTAGTCACAATACTCAGGCTAGTGAATTTCTGAGTTCGACGCCATCCTGGTCCTCAAGGCTACACAGATGAAACCTGTTTGGGGCGGGGCGGAGGTGGGGGTGGAGTATTAGGCTGGAGTGACAGTAACTCAGTTGGAACAAAAGTACTCATTTCCCTTGAGAGGTCTTGTAGTTCTCCTGGCCACAGCCCTGGCTACAGAGAGGGCTGGGCCAGCCATTTCTCTGCTCCTCTCTCCTGCAAATGTGTGGCCCCTGAGAGTTACATCCGGACCCCACTGACCAGAAATGAGCTCAGCCTTTCTGGTGACTCACGCTGGATTACCCGGAAAGCTCTGTTGGGACTGTGGGACCGGGCAGGATAGGCGGGGCGGTCAGGAGACCAGGCGTGGCAGCCTTCCCCTCCCGCCCCCCCCCCCGCGAAGGAACCGGAAGCTGGGTATGGGTCAAATGGTCCCAGGTCCGCTGTTTGGTCTCAAGCTTTTTAGAAACGCTTTGCAACCCAGGCCAGCCCCAAAATTATCTGGGAAGCCACCACACACGACAACCCTCAGTTTTCGGTTGGCTTCCTTTGGAACCAAGTGTTGCAACCACTAACTTGCTTTCTTCCTGTGAGATGGGCCTGTCTGCACAAACCAGCCTCAATAAATCTTCCACCTCAGTCTGGACTCCATGCTGTGTGGATTATTGTTACACTGTCTGCTAATATAAGAAAATGCTGTAATGGGCACAAAACCAAGTTCATTTAGCTTTCATTTGGAGGCAAAAGGTTCGGTATCAAGTGCTATCATGTGTCAGTTCTCTGGTGAAAACTTCATGGTGAGGGAGGAGACAAGTGGAGAGACCTGCTGATCAGGAATCGAGGGGCCAGACTTAAAAAACAAAACAAAAACAAAACCCAGCAACATGTAGCCCAACTTTATCTTTCTTTCTTCGTTTCTTTCTTTTTAGGCCAGGCTGATCTCAAACTCACAGAGATCCGCCCACCTCTGCCTCCCTAGTGCTGGGATTAAAGCCGTGTGCCACCAATGCCTAGCACCCAACTTTACCTTAAGAGCTACATTCATAATGAAAGCAACTGCTATGATCTGGACACCTTCCAGTAGCACCAGCACTAACTCTGTGTGTGTGTGTGTGTGTGTGTGTCTTAAGTGCTCGAACATATGTGTAGGAATGTAGTTGTGATATGTGGATTAATTTACTGGGCCCTACTCTTATTTTTAATTTATTTTTATGTGTACGGGTGTTTTGCCTGCATGTATATATCTATGTAGCAAGCTGGGTGACTGATGCTCAGAGAAGTCAGAGGGAGGGGGGGATGAGTTCCACTGTGGGTGCTGGGGTACTCTGGAAGAGCAGCTTCTAACCACTGAGTCATCGATCTAGCCCCATCAGGGCTACTTCTTTTATTGCTGCCTCAATAGAGCCACAATGGGCACCACAAGCTTCTAGCACACAAACATATCCAACCCATGGTACAGCACAAGGCAACATATTCATGGCTTAATACGTGGATACATTGGGGGATGTTATTTTCTTAACACTGTGGGTCAAGGTCAGGGTCCAGTTAGAGGTTAGTGTATGATGTATGGTCAAGGGCAGGTTGCAGTTCAATCCTCATCCATCCTGAATGGAACTCTGGGTGATGAGCAGGCTCAGAATGCCAGCGCAATGGTGAGTTCTTTCTGATCCTCAGGATGAGGTTTTCACTGTGTTCTGGAGTGTTTGCCCTGAAGATAAGAGTAGGCCATCACATACTTTGCATTAAATAAATAATTTTTAAAAAGATATACAAAACAAAAAAACCGGTAGCTGAGGCAGGAGTATCACCTTGAGTTCAAGGCCAGTATGGACTACAGCGTACTGTGTTCTGGATCATTCTTCAGTTTTGGATGAATGAATTTTTAAGTGCATATGGAGCAAAAGTAAAAATCATCCCAGTAGAGTAGCATACACCTTAATCCCCACCACTAGGGAGGCAGAAGCAAGTGGAATCTCTGTGAATTTGAGGCCATCCTGATGTACATAGGGAATTCCAGGCTAGCAAGAACTACATAGTGAGAACCTGACTAAAACACCAAACAAACAAAATAACAAAAAAAGGAAGGAAGGAAGGAAAAAAGGAAAAGCTATATTAAGAGCCCTGTTTGACTGTTTGCCTGGTTGCCCTTCCATGGGACTGGGTTCTGTTCCCAGCACCCACATGACAGCTCCAGTGTCATTAACTCCAGTTCCGGAGGATCTAGTGCCTTCTTCTGGCCCCTGAGGGCACTTGTATCGCATGTAATGCACAGACATCCATTCAGGCTAAACACCTATATGCATTACAAATAAATAAAAGGGGTCAGGGGAGTCTTGTTGAGGCAGCCAGAGCTCCCTGTCCAAAGTCGGTAGCAGGCTGTCCTCCGGAATGGGCTTCCACAGAAAGAACAGCATGCAGCAGCTAGTGACTAGAGATACTTGCTGAAGCAACCATGAGGGAGCTCCCAGTAGAGAGTTCTGGCTTTCTTAGTGAGTGCTGGGAATCTGAACTTAGTTGTTCATGCTTACAAAGCAAGCACTTTTATTGACTGCCCTCTCTCTCTAACCATGGGGATTATTTTTCCATAAACATTATTGTTATTATTTTGAGACAGAGTTTCTCTGTGTAGCCCTGGCTGGCCTGGGACTCACTCCGTAGAACTTACAGGTCGGCCTGCCTCGGTCTCCTTAGTGCTGCGATTAAAGATGTGGCGACACCACCACCCAGCTCCATAACCTTGTTTTTCTGTGTATGAATGTACTCCACCTATCTGCAGGACAGAAGATGTCAAATCCTTAGGAACCAGAGTTCCAGGGTGGTTTCGAGAGCTGAACCAATTGTTTTCCTTCTGGCTCTAAAAGATAATTGTTTAATGAAAAGGAAATATATTGTTTCAAACTGATTTAGAATCAAGTACCTTAAGAGTCCTCGTGGAAAGAGACTGTGAAGAGGTGAAAGTAAAATAATTTTCATGTCCAAGAACTGGATGGTGACATTAAAACAACGAGCAAAACCAAAGACAGGTGCGAATAACAGAAATGGGAGCGGCTCTGCTGTATGCAGGTTAATGATACCGCATCATAAAGCAAGATTAAAAAAAGCGCGGGGGAGGGGGTTTGGATCTCAGCACGCCAGAGGAAAGGAACGAGAAGCAATCCCCGCTGAAGAGAACAGAGCCCTTCGGAGAAGTCACAACTAGCTACTCCACGCACTGAGCAGCATTTCTGGCTCTCAATGTGTCCGCGGTGCCTCCTGGAAGACACTATTTCTTGATGCAGAATCCACCCTAAGTGTCTCTGACCCGAGAGGACCAGCTCATGGTCGTCACTCCGCCTTCGCTCCTGTAATTGTGACTACGCTATTTCAAACCTCGCTTGACGCCGGAGGCGTGGAATTTTACCGTGAATTGGTTGGGTCTTTTTGTGCCTTCTTATTTTAAGTTATTTGGATCCTTCTTTAGGAGTGAAAAGACAGAAAACGAAAAGCAATAGTGTGTTTCCGCCCGGTTTCGAACCGGGGACCTTTCGCGTGTGAGGCGAACGTGATAACCACTACACTACGGAAACAGGTTACTCCCCGTTGCTTTCTAAGCAACCTACATTTGGGAAGTGACTCTATTACTCTGGCTCTCGTATTTAAATTCAATTTAGTCAATCAATTCCTGGAATCAGGTAGTTTCCACTCGGAGGCTAGATGACATTCACCATGGACACACGATGGTAACTCCGAAGAAAACTGCCAGTAAGATTAAGGTTCCAGCCAGGATCCTGAGGCCATGAGAGAGCTCTGGGCTTCCGTAAGCACCCATAGTTTTCCAGATCCCGAGGATCTCCAGGAACGCCTGGCCGATGAGTCTAGGGCACCCCCTGGCGCCCAGCATCTGCCGTGCCCCGGGACTGGAGTCATCAAGCAAGAAGTCACTCAGGTGAGGGCCTTGTTTGGAAGAGTCCACGCTTATATCCGAAACAATGAAAATGCACCTTACGTTTGTCCTGGACCGGAGTAGAAAGCAGTTTCCGGGTTTCCCGTTCAGCTTTAAAAAAAATGAGTCAAAATGCTTATTTATTCAAGTCTTGCGTTTAAAATGAATGTCTTCCATGACATTCGTTGTCTTAGTACCTAATCATGGCACAGCTGCATCCGACCAGCCCGGCCGCTTGGTCGCTTTCCCTCTGGGTCGGTTTTGCAGAGGCCGGTCCATTCCCCTAGTCATCAACCCTCGATTGACTTGACTCTCTCTCAGCGCTAACTTAACACACAGGCTCCTCTGAGAATTTCTGAAAGAGATCGGGCAGGTTGAACACAAAATCCTCATCCCCTACGACCAGTCCCACACAATCATTCCTAGCACTTTGGAGGCGAAGACAGGGTCATCATGAGTTCTAGGCTAAATATCAAGACTTGTCTACAAAAATTTCTTTTTACTTTACAATGGGATGGGACTCTACAGAGACAGACTCAAGTTTATAAATACTTCAGATCAAACCCAGAGCCTTGATCAAGTTTTTGTTGTTGTTGTTTTTGTTTTGTCTTTTAATGTTCTTCTGATCAGCTACATCTCCAGTCCTCTGCCAAATACTCTGAATCAGAAAAAGTTTTAGCAGCCTGGTCTACAAAGTGAGTTCCAGAACAGCCAGAGCTGTTACACAGAGAAACCCTGTCTTGAAAAAACAAAAAGAAAAAAAAGTAAAAGACAAGAAAGAAAAAGAAAAGGTTTTAGTAATGGATGTAATTGTCTCTGGCTTTTAAGAGTCCCAAAGCCATTCCTCATTTGGAGTTTTCGTCTACTCTGGAAAATTCCACAAAGACTTCTGAGATTCTAGCCGTACTTCCCACCAGTTACTCAGAGATTCCTGATTAGAGACACCGAGGATGCCACATCCGATGGGTGAAATATTCAAATGATAAAATGATCTTGGAAATTGTCCGTCCTGCGCATCTGGGTACGGTTACCAAATGCTATGTTTTCAGTCCTCTGTATTGCAATCGCCGAGATCCCCTGGAGTTTTGCAAAAGAGCTAGAGTTACTTAGCCTGAGTTCAAGGATCAAGAGTCCAGAAGATTCAGATCAATAATCTGCCTGTCCAAGGATAGGCTTTGGGTTGCGGCATTCAAGAGGATGATGCGAGAGCTCAGGAGGATCAGGTGAGGGGGGTCTAGAGAGATTCTTTCAGACCCAAGAACGGGCAATGTGGTCAAGTGATCCTGGGCTCTTTGCGTGGTGTGTGTGTGCCGCGAGTGATGGCGGCTATGTGTCCAGTGGACACCAAAGGAAGCAGAAAAACTGAGACGTGCAATTTTAAATTTCAGAGCTTCGGAAAGAGCAGGAACCATATGAGCATTTAGAGAAAGAGGGTTAAAACCGACAGGAGTGCAGAGGCAAAGAAACATGTACGGTGCATGGTGAGTTGGTGCTGGGCAGCACAAAGACCATTCCGGATCTTTGGTGATCAGGAAGACAGTTTTATTAATGATACAAAGGTAATACCTTTAAAAAAAAACAAAAATAGCACTTCCCTGACCGGGAATCGAACCCGGGCCGCGGCGGTGAGAGCGCCGAATCCTAACCACTAGACCACCAGGGAGTGACAAAAGCGCCAATTGCAGAAGAGAGCCTAGTTGGGAATAGACGTTCATTACTACAAATGAATTCCAGCGTTTGGTGGCCAGCCATAATCAGGAGCAACACAAAATCGGCGGCCCTGACAATTCTCCTGCTCCCCACAGCCTCAAAACGTATAGCGACCCGTTCTTTGGGGCGGAAGGGCGTTAAATACGTCGCGTGGTTTCCGGGAAGAGGTGAGAGGCGACAGACTGATCAACCTCGGCCTAGAATCTTGGCAAAATGTGGACAGGCTGCGTTGGCCGGGAATCGAACCCGGGTCAACTGCTTGGAAGGCAGCTATGCTCACCACTATACCACCAACGCCGTCCTATTGAAGAGACAGTAGCATATGATGCTGGGGACTGCCATCAGCCAGAGGCCACAGGCGCCGCGGTCGCTTACCAGCTAACTCCCTGCGCCCGCTCCACATCGGCCTCAGCCCCAAAGCCAAGGCCAACGCCAGGGCCAGGGCCCGGGTCAAAGCCAACGCCAACTGGGGCCCCGCCACTACCCGCCATTCCTTGTCTTCCCGCCCCACCCGCGCTTCTCGCACGCACACAGCCTGGCTTGGGGGCACGCTCTCGCCTTCTGACCCCAGCCACCCGGCGCACCCCAACGGCCCGGTCACGCCACGAGGGCCGCAGGGCCAGGGTAGCACGCGAGGCTGCTCCAAACCGGCAGATCACCACCCGGACGCCGGCCCGCGCGCGGTAGGGGAGGCCCGTCTGGCTATCCAAAAAGGACAGCGCGTCTCCCCGTCGGGGAATCGAACCCCGGTCTCCCGCGTGACAGGCGGGGATACTCACCACTATACTAACGAGGACGACGACAACGGCGACGACCACGACCAACGCCACGCCGGTCCCTCTCCGCTACGACCCTGGCCAGGCCCGCCAGCCTCTGTCCCCTCCAACGCCGACCTCCGCACCCAAGCCCAGAGCCTCCGCGGCGCGGCCACAACGCCCCCCTCGCAACAGGACCCGGACACGCGGGCAGTCATCATTCACCCAGGAATTGCCCCCCTTCTCTACCCCCGGTACCCCTCCCTCCCCTCCCGTCCTCACCCCCCTCCCCCGCAGGCACGGGCTGTCCCGCATCCTGCGCTCCTAACTGCGGAGAAGATGGTGGGACGCGGCCCGACTGGGGCCTTGGCATCGTGACCGCCGGAGAAGAGTGCCGTTGCTTCCTTCCTGTGGAGTGGTCCCCAGCTTCAATATGGGATCCAGATGCTCCTGTTCCCCGATCCAACCCTCTAAAGAGGAGCAGGTGGGTTCAAATTGTCCCTGCCAAAAAAAATGTTTCTCCTCTTCCTTACTAGCAGTCAGGATGGCCGAGCGGTCTAAGGCGCTGCGTTCAGGTCGCAGTCTCCCCTGGAGGCGTGGGTTCGAATCCCACTCCTGACATTGATTTTTTACCCTTTCCTTGGATTCATCTTTGTCCGGTGAGCATTTGCTGGTTTCAGGTATCTTTTCTCTTCCTGTCTAGACCCAAATATCAAAGTTTATAAGCACCTAAACTAGCCCTCCTCTCTCCTCACCCCCCAGCCCTTCACCCCAGTCCCTCTCCTTTTTCTTGTGGAATGCTACGCAAGCGGCGCCATTAAGGTTCACTCCCAAGTCCTCTTTTACTCAACTCTTACTTCATTGCCCTTTAAGGGTTGTTAGTATTATCTCTCACCCTCACGGTAAGTTTAGGTGTCTGCTTTTTTTTTCAATCATCGCTAAAAGAATATTACACTTCATGTTGAATCTTTTTCTAGGCCCTTTACAATTTTATTTCCATATTTGGTACAGTGCTTTATTCAGGTTATCTATTTAAATGGTTAGTGGGGCCTTCTTATCCAAGATAGCTCTCTAGTGTCTCCACCTTTGTTTGGCATATAGAACTATTTTTTCTTGCAGGTCTCTAATACTAGTCTTTACACACTAAATCTGTGATTTTGCACTTTATTCATATTTGACTTGTGTGTGTGTGTGTGTGTGTGTGTGTGATGGGGTTGTTCAAAGTTGTGCCTAGGGCTTGAGAATGCTGGACAAGACCTTTAGATGTTAGCTAGAAACACTGCTCTTTGCAAACTGTTGAGATAGCATCACACAGAGTTGTCCAGATTGGTTTCAAACCATGTAGCAAAGGCTGGCTTCACACTTAAGGTCCCCATGCCGGGTGCAGTTTTCAAGACCTCAAATCAAAGTCACTTCAACTCTTCCTTCCTTTCCACCACTCCCCTTTTCTCCTTTTCCTTACTTTAGTAGAATTTATCTATCTATCTATTTATTTATTTTCGAGACAGGGTTTCTCTGTGTATCTTTGGAGCCTGTCTGGAACTCGCTAAAATTCACAGAGATCCATTTGCCTTTGTGTGTGCCAGGAATGCCCGGCTTTCTTTCTTTCTTTCCTCTCATTGTTTGCCTGAATCTATGAGCACCATGTTGAATTCGGTGCCTGCAGAAGCCTGAAGAGGATACCCAAAAAGGTTGGCCAGAGAACGGCAGTTATGAGCTGCCATATGAGTCTGCGAGCCAAACCTGAGTCCTATATAAAACGTGGCATGGGCTGACTTTAATATTGCTGACAAGGGGAAGATGGACTTGAACCAGGTTCTTCTGTAAGTAACCGACCAAACGAGGTACAATGGCAAAATATTTCTATTATCATGTAAAAGAGCAGACAACAATTATTTTCATTAATCCTAAAGACTGTCCTTAGCTGCGGATACTACATAAGCAGAAGATGCCGGTTCGCCTCCGTCCTGAGCATGCCAGGCAGTCCTGAGCACAGAGACAGATCCATGAAAATAACCGCTGGCAAAGTGGGTGACGCCAGCAGATCCTTGGGAAGCACACCCGGTGCTTTTACCACACGTGACTCTACCCACCCCTGCTCCCTAGACCTCCCGATTCCGAGTACCAGGAAAGGAGAGACAGCAGAGTGAAGCAGACTTCTGGGAAGGGTCTGTCTGTCCGTCTGTGCGTTCGAACCCAAGAGATTCTTACTAGAAATAAGGCAAGCTAAGACCCGGCTTCCCACTCCGGCTCACCGTATCTGCCCGCACACACACCGCCACCATCGCGCGGCCGCACACAAAGCCAAGCAACGCTCCCGCACACGCTTCCGAGACACTCACGGAGCCCACGCAGTCTCCACCTGACTCCGACCCTTGGCCTCTAGCTGGAGGGCCCCACCT